GAGGATGAAGAGGACTGCCCTAGGTAGTTGTGGAGCCCAAGGCCCTAACCTGTGAGTGACTTATTCAGGGACAGATGGAGAACAATGCCTCTTTTACTGAGGAGGGCTCAGAGGGGCTTCAGCTCTGTGGCCACTGCCTTTATTTGTTCCTTCTGTTTAAGCACCACTGCTGTGGGACTGTCGGTCAGACTGGTTATGTGCTACAGTAACTGAAAGGCAGTTGGGTGGTGAGGTGTTTTTTTTTTTTCTTGTAGGGTGCTGATGCCAGCACCAGGGGTAGGAACCAGGGTAGGAACCGCTCCCTTTGGCCACAGCATGGTTCTAAAGAGACTTACAAAGACCAGAAGACTCCCACTCCTGTTGTAGGAACAGGTGATCTCTTCTTACGGTGATATCCAAATTCCCAGTTGTGCTGGTTGAAATCTGGGCCCTGAAGTGTTCAGATATTCCCAAACCATGTTTCCTATCAGTCATGGCAAGTCAGCAGCAGATGCCTGCCGAAACGGGGGAACCTGCTGGAGGAGGAGAGGAGGTTGCTTCTGCCATCCCATTGCTGGGCGAGCTCTCCTGGGAAGGGTCACAGCCTCCATAGCCTGTGAGGGGGCAGTGAAACCCATCGCTGCAGTAGGTGCTTGATTACTGCAGAGACTTGGGGTAATCTGAGAAGCTCACCAGGGAGATCAATATTATGATACTTAGGGGACTGCAGAGACATCCCACAGTCAGGGTGAGGTGGTGACAGGTAACAAGAATCTATGCTGTGTTAAAAAAGTCCAGCTAGGAGAGGTGCTTTGAAAGAGTGCTGCCTAATGTTCTAATGTTGTCTAAAGGCATCTTCATCCCACTAACCTTCCTGTGCCATGCGGTGACTTTGCTAGTGCTGTGTGATTTCAGACCTTGGAGTGACAGGGGCATCGAGAGGATTTCAGCTTGCTACCTGTTCATGAGTTAAAACAGGGATGTCATTTTTCTGTGGCCAATTCATGTGTGGTTGAAAGTACTACTTCTGTCCAGCAGTCTGTGTGACTGAGGATAAACACACATCACCCTTGAAATTAGGGACTGGGGTTTTGCCTGGGGAGGCTCTTGAGCTGGAGCTCCTTTAATATCCTAGAGAAGTCATGGGAACCCTTTGGCTTACAGACTTCTTGTTTTCCTTTTCTTCATCTGAATGCATTTAGCTTCAGGGCAGCCTGCAATTTTAATGGGAGGCTTGAGGAGAGGGATTTTGCTTGAGGGTAATGTTGAGGTGTGGGTTTTTTTTTTTTAATCCTTTTAATTTTAACCTGCTTTTAAAGTTTAATTTGACTTAGCTAGATTTGCTCCTTTGGTTTTGCTTTTGAGTAACTGTAATGGCATTTTGGATTTTGGTCCAAGCTCCTTTTCTGTCTGCATTTATTTATACATTTCAATATATAAATTTGGGACTCTCATAGCCATGTGATACAGCCCAAAGTCGCCTTGAATAGCTGTTTTTTTCTTAATTCAGCAGTCCATCTTTTGTCCATCTTTACTCCTGTAGAAGTGATACAGGATGTCCTTTGAAGGTGTCCTGTGTCCAGATTTGGAGCCCTCAGCACAGAAGGGACAGGGACACATTGGATCCATGTCTGGACCTCAGGTCCAGAAGAGGCCACAAAAACGATTTGAGGGCTGGAGCAGCTCTCCTGTGGGGCCAGGCTGAGGGTCTCTGAGCAGCCTGCTCTAGTTGAGGATGTCCCTGCTTGCTGCAGGGGAGTTGGACTCAATGACCTTTAGAGGTCCCCTCCAACCAAAGCATTCTGTGATTCTGTGAATCCTTCAAGCCATTGCAGGTGAGCCCGATGATCTGCCTTGGCCTGGCCAGAAGGCAGAATTGGGCTGGATCTGCTTCACAGCCCGATTCACCAGATGGTTCAATGGACAATTTCTTCTACATCTGCTTTTCTCTGGCTTCTCTTGTTTGTCAGTAGCTGCTGCCTCACACAGTTTGAGCTGCCACAAATTACAGCCTGACTTCTTAAAGAAAACCAAAATGAGGGACAATTTACATTCATAGGTTGTCCTGTGAACTGGGGCAGCTCAGCTACTGCTGCTGCTTCTTCAGGAGCAGTAAGTCTGTCCTGGCTGCTGGAGCTGGGGTGTTTTGGGAAAAGGCATCTGGGGACGAGGCCACTGCAGCCACTCTGAGGTGATCGATCTCAGAAACCTGAGGACTCGTGCAACGCCTGCAGGCTTGGGGCAGAGTGGCTGGAAAGCTGCTCAGAGGATAGGCACCTGGGCGTGCTGATCGACAAGTGGCTGAATATGAGCTAGCAGTGTGCCCAGGTGGCCAAGAAGGTCAATGGCATCCTGGCTTCTATTAGAAATATAGTGGCAAGCAGGACCAGGGAGGTGAGTGTCCCCCTGTACTTGGCACTGGGCTGGCCACAGCTTGAGTACTGGGGTCAGTTTTGGGCACCTCAGTACAAGGAAGACCTTGAGGTGCCAGAGCGGGTCCAGAGAAGAGAAACTAAGCTGGTGGAGGGCCTGGAGAACATGTCTTATGAGGAGCAGCTGAGGATCTGGGGCTATTTAGCCTGAAGAACAGGAGGCTGAGGTGGGACCTAAACACTCTACAGCTCCCTGAAAGGACCTTGTAGAGAAGTAGGCATTGGTCTCTTCTCAGAAGTAACTAGTGATAGAAAATGAGGGAATGGCCTCAAGCTGCTCTAGGGGAGGTTTAGCCTGGACATTAGGAAGACCTTTGTCTCTGAAAGGGCTGTCAGGCGTTGGAAGAGGCTGCCCAGGGAGGGGGTGGAGGCTGCATCCCTGGAGGGGGTTGGAAGCCGTGTAGATGTGGGGCTTGGGGAAGGGGCTTAGAGGTGGACTTGGTAGAGCAGGGTCAATGGTTGGACTCGGTAATCTTGAAGGGCTTTTCCAATCACAGTGATTCTATGGCTCTGTGACTCGCCTACATGGAAACTTTACTGTTTCAGCTAGAAAACTCCTAGTTTTACTTTCCCACACTCAGGTTTATGTGTACTGTGATACAAGTGAGTAATTTCTGTCTGTCTGGATTTTAATCTGTTTTTATCTGTCACTGAGATAACCCAGCTGACAGTTACATATGCTGCTGTGATCAGAATGGTCTAAATAGGTCCAGTGACTGGGCTGGAACTGGAGGGACAGCTGGGTCAGGGTGCAGTATGGGCATGGAGATCGGAGCATTTTAAGCCTGGGTGGTTTGTTAGGGGATAATTGTAGAGCTGCCTGTTCCCTTCTGGCTGAAACGATGGCCCCAGCTACATGTGAAGCAGCTACAGAGCTACCACACTTCGCAGGAGCATTTTTTTCTGAGCTCCTGTAGTGCTGAAGCAGGAATTCATGCTGCAGCAATCTCCCCTTTTAGAGTTTCCTAAACACGACAGCAATTACAGATGTAGTCCCGCTTCATTCCCAAAGCAGGCAGCATTTTCTTTCATAGAAGAAACCATGAAGCTTTTTTCCTCTTTGTGTATTCACCATGCATGTTTGTTTACTTCCTTTGTGATTCTTCGCATGGCTGCATAGCCAGTGCTGTCATCCTCAGGGAATCTGAGGGTCTGGGATAGGATGATAGAGTCATTAAGGTTGGAAGACACCCCCAAGATCGTCAAGTCCAACCATCAACCCAATACTACCAGGACCACTAAACCATGTCCTGAAGGGCCACGTCTACATGTTCTCTGAACCCAGGATGCTGGTGGCCTGCTTGGCCACCCGGGCACACGCCGGCTCCCCTTCACGAAGGCGGGGCTTTTCCCAGCCACTCATCTCCAATCCTGGAGCGTTACCTGGCGTTGTTGTGACCCAGGTGCAGGACCCAGCCCTTGGCCTTGTGAAGCCTCATCCAGCTGACTTCAGCTCGTTGGTCCAGCCTGTGCAGAGCCCTGTGCAGAGCCCTGTGCAGAGCCTCCTGAGGGCCGGGCAGACCGGCACTCCTGCTTGGCGCAGTAATCCCGGCTGTGAAGAGCCTGGCCAAGCATGGGCTCTGCAGGGCTGAATAGATGCTGCTTTGCCTTGCTTGTCTGGAGCTCCAGTGGTAGCAGGACCAGCAAGCAGAGGTTCCTCAGTGCACTTACGCAGCTGGTGCCCATCCAGTGCCATTGCTGATCTCATGGCCCGTGAGGAGCCCCTGGGGGCGGGTGCAGAGCACAGAGCTGCTGTTTGGGGCTCGCCCGGGTGGGCAGCTGCAGGGGCATGGGAGGCACCCTGTGTCCCAGGCTGGCCTGAGGGTGCTGTGCAGGGGCTGGCAGCCTGGGCATGTCACGCTGGGTGTGCTATGCTGTGTTCTGATCAGACAGTTTCCCTCTGAACTGCAGTCTCAGCTTTTCATGCAGGTGTTGCGTGGTGTGCCGCATTTTGATCTGGTGAGTCCTATTAATGTCTCTGTTCAGGCTGCTTAAATTATCTGTAAGTGGAGTGACAGGGAAACTGGGATGTGGACAGGAGGGGAAACAAAGCACCCCAAAATTTAACCTAACATAACCTAAATAATAAAAAGTATAACCTAATATAAAATTCTGAATCTGCATGGATTCATGGTTTATTTGTTGACAGAGGCACGTTTCAAGGCACTTGATTTTATTCTTTTCTGGGTACAGACTTTCAAAAGGAAGTTCAGCTGTTGTCTTTGTCAGCTTGGGTGGGTGATGAGTTACTTCAGGATGCGATTTAGGGTATTAACTTGTAATAACTGGTCACACAAGGATGATACTTGGCTATAAATGCTTATGATAGTCGGGTGCTTCCCAGTGTTGAAAGAGAACAGTGACACATTATGTAGAGAGATGCTTTCATGGAGAACTTTTTTTGCACCTTGTGGAGCTGTGGTTTGATTTATGTTAATAAGTATGTTAAAGTTTTTGGGTTATACATTTGTGCAGATACACTACTCTGTGTAGATAGACTTTTTAAAAGAGCTCTTATCCCTTCTGTTCCTAAAGCTAACCGGCCTATATTGTGATTTAATCTGTGTGCACCTCTGCTTTCTTTTTCAGATACATGTATTGGACTGACTGGGGTGAAACACCTCGAATAGAACGGGCAGGAATGGACAGCAGCACACGAAAAATAATCGTTGATTCGGATATTTATTGGCCAAATGGGCTCACAATAGATCTTGATGAGCAGAAACTGTACTGGGCTGATGCAAAACTGAGTTTCATTCATAGGGCAAATCTGGATGGTTCCTTTAGGTAAGATTCCTTTAGTCAGTAATATGGTGTAAGTTATTTCACCCCTCCTGCATTCAATTTGAATTAAGGCTTTTTTTTCAGCAGTTTAGAACAATGTCAATACCTCATTGTTCCTTCTAAATGCAATTGTTAATAGCCTTGTAAAAAGTAAAATAGCTTCACATCCTATAAAACTGCTTTTAAAAGTAAGACTGTATTAGTATTTCACTATGGACTGTTTATGGCCTTCTTGGACAGAAGGGTTTTTCATTTTTAAGCTCATATTTGTTTTGAAAACAGAGATGCTCATCCTTGGCCCTATGCAATCTAACATTTAACTAGTGACTGGAATTCTGCAGCATTGTTGCTGTTCTGTTTGTTAGTGTTGTGGTGTTTTGTTTTGTTTGTGTTTGCTTGTTTTTGTTTGTTTGAACACAAAATATATGTTGAGACACACTTGTCCTTGGCCCTATCCAAAGATGTCCTTTTTGACATCCCTATAACTTAACCAAATTGAGCTTATTTCAGACTATGAGTGAGCAGGAAGCAGATTTTCCTGAAGCCTGATAGAAGGCACAGTATCTAAGCTTGGTTGGTGGCTCCTCTCCAAGTGTGCTGCTGAGTTTTGGCTCTTGTAGACACAGAGAGGTGACCCTTCAGACAGGGCAGACTGAGGCATTTAAGATTGCACCTTCAGTTCTGCGTGGGGCTCAGGGGGCAGCCTGTGTTGGTCCTGGAGGGCGAGTGTCATCTGCCAGTGAAAAGTCCTGCCAAGGAAGCCAGTCTCTGTATTCCCAGTCTGGCTTTGGTCTTCGGGTAGTTTAAAATGTCGTTTCCATTTTCATGATTTCATAACATTGTAAATGTCTGTGTTATGCAATAGTTTTGCTTTGGTAAAAAGCTGGAGGAGCTTTATTTTATGCATGTAATAAAATAATAAGCCTCCCTCAAAAAAACAGTGCATCTTCCATGGTGTTTTTCAGTTGTGGGTTTTTTTTACCAAGGTGCATTCTGTGCCAGATTTTCACATTCATAAAAGAAGAACAACAATACAAACGTGCTTTATAAAATGCTTTTAAGTTCTTGGAGAGCATTATGTAGGAGCCAGGTAATGGTGGTGTCGTAGTAAGTGACAAACACTTGACTGACAGTCAGAAGTGTAGGGCAGGGAAAAGGTCTTTGTGAGGGGAGTGGTCGCTCAGAGGCTGGGCACAGGTTCAGCGACAGAAAGAAAGTGCTCTCTCAAAATTCAGAATCTGAGAGAGATTTTTATACAATACAACATGAATATCTGTCTCTGGTGTGGGGTGAGTGGCGGAGGGTCAGGTTCCCAGGCTGATTCAGTGGTTATCATGCACATACAAATTGTATCAGCTTTACTTGTATGTGCATAAAAACTTAGTTGTAAGCAGCAAGTAAAACTTACCTGTTCATTCCAGGGAAGCAAAAGAGCACCTAAAAGGGAACAAGTCTTCTGGATACATTAGTTCCAGCAATCTTTCCAAATTATTTGTTGATGCATAGTGCACATCTGACACCTGCCAAGCAGTTTTCTACTGAACCTGTGTTTCAGGAAATATTAATGTATTTTGCTTTAAAAACAAATGCTCAGTGGTGTACACTTTACGTATTTTACTCAACTGCTGAGCTGTGTAAATACACATTTGAGGTCCAGATATTCCTATGCAGGACGGATTCTGGAAATCCTGTGTTCACCTGCATGTGGGCTTTTAGGCATTGTCCAATAATATAGCTTATGTCATTTACCTGTGTATGCTTTATACTGTCACCATATGATAAAATTTCTTTCGTAAAATGTTAAAATCTTAATAAATTGTCATGAATATTGACTTTAATTTTAACTCTTATAAACGGAAATTTTCATTTACTCTTTTTTCCCTTCCACTGATAAATATTGAAGCAGAAGTCTGTGAGCTTGTGACTGAGAGTCTGGTGTCAAGGTAGACTTCAATAATGGTTCAAACCAGACAATAACTTTGGAGGTTGCTTCTGTTCCTTAAACACAGAGCAAAATCAATTTCACCCAGACGTGTCACTAGAGAAATCTTCTGGTGTGTCAAATGCTTCTACCCCTCCCCGCCCAGCATCGCCTCAGAATTCAGATAAACAGAAAGGCTGCATTCTGCATGGTGGGTTCATGTTCCTGGAGCAGGCTGCTTGTTACATCTCAGCAAGCTCCAGTTTGCAAGCACACAGGCTGGAACTGTTTCAAAGGATGTAATTACAGGAGAAGAGGAGACTTGATATCTAAGAATGATGGAAATAGGGGCAATATATAGCGGAAAACAGCTGCTACGATACCAGGATATCGTTACTGGTAAAGCAGCAACAGCAAGCGTGTGAGAGAGAAAGTGAAATCAGTATTTGTGTTTATTTCATTGTATTTTATGGTGAGAGAAGTAGTGATAATTTGAATGACAGAACTTTTAGAGCTGTTTCAATTCTATCTCTAGAATGGAGAGAAGAAGAGTTGTCTTTTTTCCACATTACCTGCTTCGCACATGTATGTGCAAATACTTGTCTGCATGTGTCAGTCTGTTTTAAACTTGTCCATGTCTGAATACGTAAGAAGAATTTTGGGGATGACTTTTATATTCCCCCTCAGCCCTGGAAAATGCAAGTGGTACCTCTGCTGCTCCAGGTGAAACTCCTTGCCAAATGTTAGGTTTTGTTTTTTCTTTAATTTCTTCAAAGGAAACAATTTAAATTCAGATTTGAATAGAGACATAAGAAAGGTTTTTTCCTCACTCTCCTTCAGGATGATGCTAAGACTTCAGCTTTCTCAAAGTTGTAGGATGAAAAATTTTGAATTCTGGTTTGTGGTGTCAGAACGTTGGTTTGGAAGACAGGTGTATGCCTCTGTGTTTGTGCATACATAAAAGGCACAATTTTTGTGAAAATTGACTACATGTTGTTTTGACTGAAGAATTCATTAATGTATTCACTGACTTAGTAAATAGCTCTAAAACGACTGTATCTAAATTACACAATTTTACTGCAATATGTACAAATTCGGGGATCCTGTGAGTTTAGAAAACACGTTGAAATTTCATGGGTTTTGTGGCTTTCAGGTAGGCTAATAACCAGTGTGAAAATACTTGGATCCCCAGAAGAGGTGTGGTTGAATGAGGTCATTGAAAAACATAGAAATGTTTCTGATTTTAGATCAATTACAAATATTTAATCTTAGCAAAAATATACCTGAACCTTAAATTGCTCTACATTTAAAAAGAGAATCTGAAAAATACTTGTTTCTGTAGCTGACCAAGTTAAGAAGGGTAATTTAAAGAGACTCCTCCTACCACAAGAAAGGGCTGAGTACAATAGAAGTCCTGGGCAAGGGTATCCTATATTGCACAGGAGGTGCTTTAGCTGGAGCAGCGCTCTCTGGACCTGCGTTTTCTCCAAAGGGCAATTGTGTTTGGGTGTTTGCAGAGCCCTGTGAAGGGACCTTGGTGTGGCCTTTCAGAGGTCAGCATGGAGCTGAATCACATGGTGGGTCCCTGTGGAGCCCAGTGTATTTATGTCCTTATTGCCGTGAAGGGACAAGTTTACATTTTTCAGCCTGATTGTCCCTTCTGTCGCAAGGTGAATCTCTTGGTCCAGTGGATTTATTAAAAGAACACAATTCCTAGAGGAGTTTTTGCAAAGTCAGGTTTTTTCCTGCGTGGTAACGAGTGGCAGCAATGCATTCTTAACCCCTGCTCTTTCCTCTTTCTTTCATCTAGGCAAAAAGTTGTGGAGGGCAGTCTCACTCACCCCTTCGCGCTGACGCTGTCGGGGGACACGCTGTACTGGACGGACTGGCAAACACGCTCCATCCACGCCTGCAACAAAAGGACAGGAGAGAAGAGGAGGGAAATACTGTCTGCCCTGTATTCCCCCATGGACATCCAGGTCCTCAGTCCGGACAGGCAGCCCTACTGTATGTTTTACTTCTCCATGAAACTTTTGCATGACTGCTACTTACCTGTCAGGAAAAGCCTTAGTCATACTAGTGGTTGGTGTGAAGCTGTCAGGGTTTGAACACTTGTCAGGGGATTTGTTGCTAAAGGCACCTCAATCCTGTACCTTTCTCTGAAAATTCCAGCTTGAATTGGTGGGAGCTCATTCATCATCCCAGTTGGTAAAAAAATCCAAAATTCAGTGCAGTACTTCAGTGACATGTTTTGATTTGGAATATCTGAGTGAGAATGATAAAGACTCACCGGGCGTCTTTTTAACGCCATTATTGTAGAAACAACTGAAGAAAATACTCCTACTTTTTTTAATAAGTAGAATTGCCACAAAATATGCACGTTGTACTTACAAGTGCAGGTTTTGCAGTCCAAGCTTGATGGCGTTGATCTTCAGTATGTAACAAATAGTTTATGAACGTTTGAGTGTGGAAGGGATTTAGTTCTGAGCTTTTATATAAACATCTACGTGCTTCTGGTTTTTCTTTATGTGTATGATGATACTTCAAAGGAGGGCAGGTGTGGAGAGTTGAGATTTAAATGAGGCTGTATATATCTTGTATATGCATGTGATTCCCTGTGGTGATTTGTCTAGTTATTTTTTAGGGTTGTGTGAATGGGACTTAAAAGCAATGGTATGAAATTGTGTGTCATTGAGTAGCTATGGGAAGAGTCATCTCTTGTGTAGAGGAGATGGACTTGCCATTTGGACTGGCTTCTTTATTTATGTGAGCTGTAAAGTCTGCTTTGCCAAAGTTAACGTTTGCTGTTCCAGTAAAGTTTATAGGATGTCAGTAAAGAGGCTTGAAAGTAAGTAAAAGGAGTTTGGAGGTCATCTTGGTGATGGAACACATGCAGGTTTTCACTGAGGCTGTCAGGTATGCGCAGCACCCTGGTTTATCTCACAGTTCCAGATAAGAGCTGGTCTATGCTGAATTCTTGCCATTGCTTTTCAGCTGAGGGAGTGTCCCAGCCTTGGGTCATGGTATTTCTGGGGCAGTCACCAAAAAAACATGGCCCACAGGGAAATAGTATATGCTGAAAGTTGCTCAGATGCTATTGATTTAATTAAGATCAGGATTTCTTCCTCTTCCATTTTTTCATCTTTCTGACTGTCAGTGGAAATAACAGAAGCCAGATTAGCCAAAAAGTTTGCTTTTTATATTAAAGCACTTCAGATGCTTATTCAAGCTATGAATGATTTTGGAGAGATCTTCAACAACTTGCTCTCTCTGTATATATTTAATTTTTTTAATAGCTAGCAATATTCTCCATAATTATGGTTACAGTCTCGTCTCTTGCTGCCATTTTTTTCCCCATGTAGGTGAAATAGGTGTGTACAGTTGTGTGTCCATCCCTGTCCTGTCACGTGTCATCCCACACACCACCCTCAATTTTATTTTATTTTATTTTTTTACATTTAAAAAAAAAAATGCTGACTTTACCTGTTGCTCTTCTAGACTTCCTGGTGATTTGGATATGTGTCTTATTGTGAAAGCTTTGCAGTAGGAAAAGATATTTCCAGCATGCAATACTACTGCAACATGGGAGTTGTACAAATTGTGATGTTTCCCTGTCTTTCCTGGAAGTGGTCTGTGAAAGAAGGACAGTCTGTCCCCCCAGCCACTGGCCCCTCAGCCCTCTTTTTCGTTTCCATGCTGCTTAGCAGACCTGGCACCCACGGAGTAATTGGTGTCCAAAGCTCTTCACTGTGCTCACCTTCAGATACGTTGAAGAACTAGATAGTGAGAGTGCAGTGAGCTGTTGGCTCTTCCCAAACCAGCTTTTGCATGCAGCTCAGTTCAGGTGCCCCTGGAAGTATGGTGCTGGGGAAATGGGAATCAAACACTTAATTTTGTGATTTCTCTTTCTTTTAGCACAAATGCTTGTGCCAGTCATTTGGGATCTATAATTTCCTCCCTGTGGAGAAAAGAGGGCTTTAGGGGTTCTAGAAAAATGAAGTAAATCTGTTTGGTTTCTTAAAGTTCACACTCCATGTGAAGAAAACAACGGTGGCTGCTCCCATCTGTGCCTGCTGTCTCCAAAAGACCCCTTCTACAGCTGTGCCTGTCCCACTGGTGTGCAGCTAGAAGACGATGGCAGGACATGCAAATCAGGTAGGAGCTTGGCTTTTCTACAGTGACAGTGTTGACTTGGTTTGGATTTGCCACTTGAAAGTTGAGCCTTGAAGAAGAGAGTTGGGAGGAACTGCCTGACACGCTGAAATGTTGCTCTTGTCTTGAGGAAGGTGGCTGAAAGTGTGCACCCAAATCTCCTGCCAAACCACCAAAGATAGTGGGTTTTTATGAACTAGCTTAATCCCTTGCATCAGAAATCAGAGATTTTTGAGTGTATTTTGTGTCTTCTGGCTGTATTTTGGTTCTTTGTAGGACTGAAGTGGTATGTGGAGCCCATTACAGAATAATTTTATTAGAAGTGAGCTATTATAGGACACCTTTTCATTTTGTCAGAGGAGCATGAACAGACTTCTGCTCCCCCTCCTTCATTGTCCAGTGGTGCTCAACAATGCAGTCGTGGTGGCCAAGCCTTCCAGCTGCAGATCCAAGTTAGCAGTCACACAGATGTGCTGAGAATTCATTCAGGGCCACTTCCACATGCCCATGGGCTGTTTTAGAGATAACCCAGTGAGTTACCCCTGCTTCAGTTTGTTTAATAATGAAATGATCTGCACGTAAAAATTCAAAATTAAGATTTAAACTAAACCCATCATTTTTCTGGTTCCGAAGATGAATCATCCCTCTGTTTCCCTTTGGGCTGCACTGTGGGAAGGATTTATGAGGCAACTGCACTGGAAGTTTTTTCTTCCAGGATCTGGTTTGTCTTTTTTGGGCATTATATTTAATTTGAAAAAGCGAGGCAATGCTTTGTATAATGAGGGTTGTAAAGTTTGCTGCTTGAGATAATTCATCTAGAGAAAAAGATTTTCTAGGTGGCTGTTCCATGTCACTGAGAGGTAAGAGATGCTTGTGTACGGTGGCAAGACACTAGGAGACAAGTTTCTGGAGAGTGTTCTGCCAACAGGCTGAAAGACACTCTGCTGCCTGTCTCCAGGGAGTTTTCAGTGAGTCTAGTCAGAGTAGTCATTTTCCAGTGTGGCTCTGAGGACTAAAGCAAGCATAATAGATTCCTTTCATTTGTGAACTTGAAGCAGAATTCAAACACTGAACCTCCACGGTTTAAGGGCCAGCTTTATTAGCTCATCCTACTGCAGTTGAAAAGCTTAGAAGGTAGTTCTTGCAGCTGCTGAAAGACGTTTCTCTTGCCTTCTTCCAGCCTTGGAAAGTTTCCCTTTCACAGCTTTTTAAAAAAACGTTGTTGAATGCTCAGGACAACCTTTTTAGACATTCATATTGACCTCATGTTTCTGGCAGTGGGAATGAAGGTCAGCCTGCTTTTGGCATCTTGGCGGATAGCACAAGCAGGAGTGACTGCTTATACTGTGCTTTCACCTTTCCATTGTCAGGCCAGACAATCTGTCAAGGGTGTTCTGTCAAAGGAGTGCAAAAAAGTGGGATGGGAACAGGAAATCTGGTTTTGCATAAGAATGTGGCCTTTTCGTTCAGTTTTATGGATTATTTCTTTCCCAAGCTCCACATCTTTTGTTGTCTTGTCTGCCTTATGCCAACATCCATGTGCTTCTCTTTCCCCTCTTATTAATTAACTCCTTGGTTGCAAGGAACTGACTTCTTGTTCTCTGCACAAGTCCTTTGTAATGAAGTTGTGTCAGGAGCTACCAACGGGACAGTGCTGACCAGCTCTCCATTTCATCCCCTCTTGCTTGGGCAGAAATGCAGAAGTACAAAGTCACTTAGAATCATAGATCTGCTTCTTTGATGTTAGGCTTTTGAGTGAATTACACAAATGCTACTGGGGATTTGTCTGCAAGAGAAAAAGCATTCTGTTGTCAAAATCTTTGTCCACATGGGGAGTTTACTGGTGCAAATACAACTGCATAATGTTACTGTAATCTCTGTCAGAAAGTATTCTTGTGCAGAAAAGCCCTAAGGCTTTTGAGGCAATTTCCACTCCTTTGGACATTGAAGAACACATATATTGGTAACGTTGAGCTCTGTAGCTCTTTACAAAGAGTGTTGAATGATAACAAGCCTAGGTAATTAAGAAAACCTGAGTTCAGGAACAGGCTGGGCCACTATTTGCTTCGCTGCCTGTGTACATCAGAACTCTCCATCTGGATTTTTATATTTTTCTGAATATATAACTGTAGATGTGCTGAAGCCATAAATACTGTGACTGTATTAAAAAGATAGTTCATTATTCTGTAGTGTTGGGTTTTGGTGTTGATTTATTTTCGCTTCCTCTGTGGTTCTAAACAGTTGCTCTGATTAAATAATAAAAAATAGCCCTACAGTAGATGTCCATCACTATTAACATATAGTAAACACATGGATAAATTGCAACTGGCATCAAGAATAAGTTCCTCTCTGGGAATGTGTACTTGTTTGGGGCAGGTAGATATTTTTGTGTTGTTTCCCTCCAGATGAACGATACTAAGTCTGTTTTCCTCTGTTGTCTCTGCAAATGCTCTGGACATGCTTGAAGATCCTGTGTCAACAAGCAGAGGGGTCATAAATTTGGAAAGTGAATCAGCTGCATCTGACCATGTACGCTGAGCAAAGAGAGCATCCAAGCTATGGACTTGGAATTACTTAAGAAGTTGTGTTGCACCACTGTTGTCTTGGAGGATGTGTCCAAATATGTGATTTTAGATCAGTATCTGAACCCTATCTTGCCTGTGTAGAATAATAGATGGTTTGGGTTGGAAGTAATCTTAAAGATCATCTTGTTCCAAGCCCCCTGCCATGGGCAGGGACACCTCCCACTTGACCAGATTGTTCAGAGCCTCATCCAAGCTGTGCTTGAACACCTCCGGTGATGGAGCATCCACAGCTTCCCTGGGCAACCTGTGCCAGTGTCTCACCACCATCATAGTGAAGAACTTTTTCCTCATTTGTAATCTAACCCTACCATCTTACAGGTTGAAGCCATTATACCTCATCCTATCACTACAAGCTCCTGTTAAATGTCACTCCCCAGCTCTCTTGTAGGCCCCTTCAGCTACTGGAAGGCTGCAGTAAGGTCCCCCTGGAGCCTCCTCAGGCTGAACCACCCCAACCCTCTCAGCCTGGCCTCACAGATGCTGAAGTCACAGTCTGTGATGCCCCTCGGAGCCTCATGGCGCTGGTCTGCAGGGCCTGTGGGGGTGGCCTAGGCAGTAATAGCTCTTAACTACCTTGTAACTTCCAGGAGTGACTGACCTCTGAATTTTCATGTTTCAAAGTGGAGCTTCAGTTCTTAGACCAGGTGGATTTCTTGATTTGTGGGCTTGTTTTTTTTTGGTTTGTGGTGGGTGGTTTTGTGTTTGTTTGAATGTCTTCTCTAAGCCTGCTTGAACAATGGCACGAACGTTTGAGAAAGGACCATAGGTTTGGTTGCAGTCATTTAAAAGGGATGTAGAATTCTAACTAATTAACGCTTTATTTATGCAATCATACAATTGTAAGCTTGCTTTAGTTAGTCTTCAGTTTCTTGCTTTAGATAATTTCTGATCCAAGTAATGGAAGTCCTAGGACCAAAGCAAAAACTATGTGTGTTCTATGCATATTTTCAGGGAAGCAAAGTGTGGTTTGGTCAGCAGTGGACAAGGAAATAGGCCAGTTTGGGAAGTAGAGCAGAAGTGTGGAAATTTTAAAAGCTTGGGGACATTCTTTCAGTCATTCTTCTGACTTGGAGCTATCCTGAGGTGACTGCTGTTGTTGGGCTGGTAGTAGTTTGAAGTGTTGTGAGAAAGACAAATGTACTAATAGCTACTGCCATGTCTCCAGCAGTAAACCATTTGAACTGTTCTTGCCTTGGAGGGCAGAGTCCACAGGTGATAGCTTCATGTCTATCCTGCCTGACCAACCTGCTGGCCTTCCATAATGAAGTGGCTGCAACAGTCAGCCGGGGCAGACCTATGGGTGTTGTCTGTCTGGACTTCTGCAAGGCCTTCAACATGGTCCCCCACAGCGTCCCTTCAGAAGCTCAAACTCTCCATAGACAGACTCTCTGTGCTGGTTTGGGCTGGGGCAGAGCTGGTGTTCCTCCAGCAGCTGGTACTGCCGTGTTCTGGATTTGTGCTGGAGACTGTGGATAGCTCAGGGCTGGTTCAGTGATTCCTGAGCAGGGCTCACACAGGGTCGGGGCTGCTCTGCCCCTCAGCCCACCCCCCCAGCGAGCAGATGGGGTAGTTGGGCCGTAGCAGCTGGGAGGGGACACCATGGACAGCCGACCCCAGCGGAGCACGGGAGGCTGGGGGAGGACAAGGGAAGGGAAGGGGGGACGTGTGGAGGGGCACCCTGCTGTGGGTGACCTGCTGGAGCAGGGGGGTTGGATGAAACGATGCCCAGACAATCCTGACAGCCTAGGAGATCTAGAAGCTACCTCTTCTATTTCTACTCCATTTCATTAAAAATTCATGAGGTTTTTTCTTTCATTCATGTGCAGATCTTGTTTGTTTTGAGCCTGTTTTCCCCTTGCTTTTGTTAGTGTTGTTATATTTATGATTTTATTTGATCTATATGAAAAGATTACATTATTCATAGCAACTTTTATCCTTCCAAATGGCGAGTACTTTGTGTAGTGACAAGATGAAATAACCCTATTTGGAAATGGCCTTGATTATAATTTCAGTGGATAAAAGCCATCAGAAGCATGCTGTAAGGAGGAAACCTGGAGGGAGTGTGAGGAGAAGTCTGGAAGATCTGCCACATCATCTTCTAGCTCTGTTGTCAGTCATTTCGCTGAGCTACTGAATGAAACTCTCTCTTTTTGGGGATTTGGTGCATGTTTCACATTGCTGACAGCTTTCCAGGGCTTTGAAATGCTGCCTGGTTAGAGATGGTCACTAGCTCATTTTTTATGCTAAGGGCTTAAGGGTTGGGGGCTTGGTTTGTGTGTATGTGAAGGAAAAAGTGACTCTCCCTTTTGAGTGCTGTTGAGTCTCTGGATTGATTCTGGTTTTAGGCTGCAGGAAAACCACACTCTGGGTCTGTACTGGAAAGGTTTTTGTGTAAATGTTGTTACCTTGCATTCACGT